AGTATTAATCTTCTGGATTTCTATGTGTAGATTTAGAATCATTTCTAATTTTTCATTTAATTTGTCATTTTGTTCTTGTATTTTCTTCCAAATTTCTTCTAAGGTTTTTTCTGTGTTTTCTTTGGTCTCTCAATCCTTTGAAGATACCTAAAGATAATTCTTTTGAATTCCTTACAGAGAGTGCCAATGCTGCTTCTTCCTCAGGAATGTGTTCTGGGTCTTTATCTTGCTCCCTTGTTTCTACCACTTTATCCTGCCTTGTGGACTGTGATGGTCTGTTGTTTCCAAGGCATTGTGGCATTGTATTTAGATCTCTGTTAACTGTTTGTGAAGAGCAGCCAAGGGTGGTTCAGGCTCTCCTTGGTGGTTTTTTATCGTTGGCCCATTGGTGGAGAATGAGGTAGTAGCTGTCGCTCAGTAAGTGAAGTTGCAGGAGGTATGGGTGTAGTTGTGTCTTATCGGGACTGTTGTTGTCTCCCACTCAATCAGACACAAATTACAATAGAATAACCTTCAAAAAAGTTGTCAGTCTTGCAGGTCCCGAATGTCCTTGGGTTTGCTGGAAAGCAGAACGTGTTCTTAAGCCCCAGGAATCTGCGAGAGCACTGTCTCTTTAAATATCCAAAATAATCAAGCTGCTTTTTAAACCTTCAAAATGGTGGTGTCCTCTGGACCGTCAAAAGTCCACAGCCCAGCCCACCTTTCTCTTCACCTTCTCCGTTTGTTCCCCAGCCACCATGCGCAGTCCTCCGTGCAGTCCCTGGCTAGCAGGGTGATTTTTAGGTTAATTCTTAAGTCCTACCACCACTCGGGAATCTCCAAGCTGTCTGTGCCCTCAGGATCGATCAGGATCGCTGCCAGACTGCAGCTCCCTATGTCTCCTTTTTTGTATTTTCATGCAAATTCTTCTGGTAGTTGGGGTTTACTATATCCTTCCCTTCAAGGCTCAGGGGTCCAGGATTATCTTCTGTGTCTGTGTTAATTAGTTTCCCTTTTCTTTGTTGAAGAGGGTCTGTGCAGTCTTTCTGCCTAGTCCGCCATCTTGCTGGAACTCCCCTCTATGATGATTCTTGTGAACATCTCTTAGTATACATGTGTAGGACTTCCTCTAGGGTATGTGTATAGAAATGAAATTACAGAATCATTGAGATGCGTATATTCAGTTTCAACCTTTTAATTTCTGAAATGGTATTGTAATTCACACTCTTATTGCCAGAGTGTAAAATTTACCCTTAGGTGACATTTTCTGTGACCCCTGATTTTTTTTTTTTTTAAGTTTGATATTTGTCAAATAGTCTATTTAAATGATCTGGTCTGCACACTGTTTGTTACCTGTTACAATAAGATCAAAGCCACTGCTTCCTCATTGACAAAGTGTTGTGAGGAAGAAAAAAAAAAAGAATAACTAAACATTGTATTTAGTGATGTGATTGATTTATATGTTTGTGTAATTTTAATCGGTTGCAGGCCAATTAACCAACCTTTGTATAACATTGATGTAAACTATATTTTGTTATAATTTAAATTTGCATTTATGTGATTATAATGATGTTATACATCTTTTCATATATTTATATATCATTTGTGTTTCTTTTTCAATTCGAAGTCTATTTATGTCTTTTGCCCAGTTTTCATTTGGGTTGATATTGTTATATATTTTGGATATTAATCCTTTGTCATTTATATTATTTTGCTAATATACCTGACATGGGGCTTATCTTTTTGCTTTCTTGAAAGTATCTTTTGATAAACAGAAATTTTTAATTCTAGTATCACTTTTTGGTTAGTGATATTTGGGGCTTGTTTGTAAAATTGTTACCTTCCTGAAAGTCATAACGGGGGTGGGGAGCTCTGGTACCACAGTGCCTAAGGCACTTAACTGCCAACTAGAAGACTGGCAGTTCAAATCCACCAGCCACTTCTCAGAAAGAAGGTTGGGCAATCTCCTTCCGTAGTGATACTGCCTCAGAAACCCAAGGAGGGGTCACTGTGAGCTGGGTCCAACTTGATGGCACAAACTACCACCAACCAAAAGTCATAACATATTTTCCTGTATTCTGAAAGCTTTAAAGTTTTGCTGTTCACATATCAGTTTTTAGTATATATAAATTTGATTTTTTTGTGTGTGGCATTGAGGTAAGGTCTAATTGTACTTTTCTTTTCCTTACTGTGTATAATCAATTGTCTCAGTGCCACTTATTGAATTCCCTGCATATTGACTTATAACTTCTTTGTCATACTTCTGATATCTTTATATGCATGGATCTGTTGCTGGGCTGTTTCTTTTATTAATCTTTCTTATTGTAGCTGTGCCAATATCAAAGTGTCTTAATTACCATAACTTTATAACAAATCTTGATCTCTGGTAGGACAAGGCCCTTCACTATTTTTATTCTTCAGGGGTGCCTTAGACAACTCTGTGAATGTATTACCAATACAAAAATATGAACAAATAAAATTTAAATTATTTTAAAAATTCAGGCATGCATCTGCATACTCCCTAACAATATAGTTAACATACTCTGTTGAACCGAACTATATACATTTACGTGGTTTTTGTTCTGAGAAGTACAGTTTCCATTATTACAGTTTTTTTTTTTTAAATTTTTATTGTTTTGGGTGACAGTTTACAGAGAAAATTCATTTTCCATACAGCAGCTCACATACACTTTGTCTCATGACATTCACTGCAATTTCCCGCAATGTACCTTCTTCCCTGCCACTTCCTCCCCATAGTTACCTCTTCCCTGTGCCCTTCCTTCCAGTGCACTCCTGCCCTCTGAACTGTTTCCTTGTGCATACACATCCCTTCTGTTCTCCCATGATTGATCTCTCCAAGGAGTATATCTACCTAATGTAAATGTTCAGCCTATCTTTGGCTTGGCTAGAAGCCACAAAAGTAGGTTCAATTCCCCATTATTACAGTTTTGAAAAAAAAATGGTTAAGAATCACACAATATTGAATGTTGTTATTTTCAGAACTACAGATTTTTAGAATGTAAAAAATTGTGAATATGATTACTTAATGTTAATATTTTGTGTATTTCTTTTTTCAAGTCTTCATACATCATCAGAGGCATAGTCTTTCCAAGACGGCTTATCAGACATCTCTTTCTCCTTGTTTTGTAAATGTTCAGGTGCCCAACAGACATTTTGCTGCAGCTACAAAGTAAGTATTTATTTATTTATTTTTGTCTTTTAGTTATTATTTTGTTTGCTCTCATTTAAAATTTTGATGATAAAAATATTGGCTCCATAAATACATGTAAACAAAAACCAAACTCACTGCCATCGAGTTGATTCCAACTCATAGCAAATCCTATTGGGTTTCCAAGGTTGTAAATCTTTACAGAAGCAGACTGCCTTTTCTGTGGAGCGGCTGGATGGGTTCAAACCACTGACTTTTTGGTTAGTAGTCAAATGCTTTAACCGTTACAGTACCAGAGCTCCTTATAAATACATATCCAAAACCAAACTTATTGCTGTTGAGTCGGATCCGAGTCATAGCAACTCCTCCTTGGGTTTCCGAGGCGATATCACTTCAGAAGTAGGTTGCCCAATCTTCCTTCTGAGGAGTGGCTGGTGGATTTGAACTGCCACCCTCCTGGTTAGCAGTCAAATGCCTTAGACACTATGCCACTAGGGCTCCATATGAATACATGTAGGCACTGCCAATTGTGAAAGTTTATCATTTCTGCTTCTTTGACCTTTAGTCCTAGAAGAAAGATTAAGACTTACTACAATAATAGTTACTACTTTTTAAACACTGACATGCATTAATGAATTTAGTCCCTTCTGTAACATTATGTAATAGTTGGAGCTGTGTGTCAACTTGGCTGGACCCCAGTTGTGGGTGGTTTTTCCCATGATGGGATCAGATGACTGAGTTCTGAGTGGCCGGTCTGCCCAAGGGGAGTTTCCCTAGGGGTGTGGCCTGCTTGCAATGATATTCCAAGGACAATCTGGAAGAACGGCATTCCGAACTACAGACTTCCTTGAGTGAGCGGCTCACC